TTAAATTATTTTTATTATTTTTATATAAATTAATTATAAAAAAATATTTATTATATCTTTAATGTTTCTCACAAGCGCACACATAAAAAGGCCCAAAGTAAAAAAGCATACGCGCAATAATTCACCACCTTGCTTATATTATTATCCTGTTCCTGTCTGTCCCACTGCTTTTACTTTTGGGTTTGCTTTCTATCGAAAAGAAATTGCTCTTTACTTTTGGAAACTAGAGCGCAATCCCATTAGTCAAATTGCTCTTTACTTTAAATAATAAAAAATAATAATTGATTTAAAACAAATTAAAAATTAAAAAAATTTACTATGGAATAAAAAGAGTAAAAACACATTATGATATCTATCAAACCCAGAAAAAAAATTCCTAAATTTCAATGCTTAGCCTATCCCAGATTCATCAATAATACATCCAGGGATCGAATCAAGCATCAGAAAAACTGTAACACATTTGGGGTATTCCTTTTTTTAACAGACAAACCAAAGCAAACAAAGAGTAGAACTGAAGAAGAAGACGAAGCAAGCAAAGTGGGGATAACTTGAAATGCTAAAAATAAATAAATTTCAGGCTTTGAGCTGCAACCTCTTACCAATCAGAATAACGTGGCCCAATAAAAATGGAAGTGTTGGCCGGAGAGTGCAGAAGGCGAGTGCCCCTAGCACTCCTCTTCAAAAGACTGTGACCGGCCTTATCTTACCTTCGACAAGATTGTGACCGGTAGAAAAGATTGTGACCGGTGACAGGCGTTATCCTTATCCTTGGTTAAAAATTGACCGCGGTTGAATGATTTTTACTCGCAGTTTTAACGATTCTTAGGTTAAGTCCGGATTCCTATAGAGAGAGAAAAAGGAACGCAGAAGGAAAAAGGAAGAGAGAGACTCGTCAGCTCTGCTGCAATTGCTTTTTCGACAGAACTCTGGCAATGCATGTGCTAGTGTCCTCCGGTTACCGTGCCCTCATTGAGAGAGTTTGTCTTTTACCTCCCTCGATGCAGGAGGGAGGGGTCTTCGAAACTTCACCAAATTGAAAGCAGGGGAACGAAGATGATTTTGGTCATGACAGGGGCAAATTAGTCCTTGCAACAGAAAATTTTAACTTCTCTGTAGTTTTATTATCATTTTCCTGTATCAGTAACAATTGGGCCCGCTACTTAAAAGTAGAAAACAGCTGGAATGCACGGAGTCGATTTCATTATCAAAGATAAAAAAGCATACGCGCAACTGGACCTCCCTGCATTATTAATGCTTGCAATAATTCACCACCTCCCATGGAATACAGACGTGATTATAGTCCGTTTCCCATTGCTTTTGCTTTTACTTTTTGGTTTCTTTTCTTGGGTAAAGAAATTGCTTTTTGACTTTTGGAAACCAAGGCGCCTTTAGTCAAATTTGGCTTTCTCCGAAAACGAAAAACATATCCGCAATCCGCGGGTATGGATAAAAAATATTAATTGTTGTATTAAAATAACTTATTCAAATAACCTTTAAAAGATAAATGTAAATAACTTTAATAAGTTATACCTCATATCAAACATTAATTATTCGGTACTTTATATACATGACAATTTATAAGGGACTATAAAATTAGTTAGATTAAAAACTTGAATATTCATGTGTTTATATATATATATGAAACGAAAACCTTTGCCAATTAGTCCTTACCAAACCTTTTTACAACAATTGCAAGACTCTACTTCCTTGGCGTAGGCTCCAATTGATATACATCCAATTGAATAAGTTATTTTAATACAATAATTATAAAAAATATATTTATTATATTTTTAATTTTTTAAAATATAATTAGATAAATCATTAAAATATTTTTTAATTTTTAATTAAAGATAAATATAATATTTATATTTACCTATAATATTTAAAAAAATAAAAAATAAAAAA